AACTCGAGCGGTCGGATCGCTGCACGACCGGGCTGAATCGCGTCCGGACTCGATCTCGGGCTCTGTCTGTGTCGGCTATGTCTCCGCTATGACTCGGTTGTATCTCGGCAACATCTCAGCAACATCTCGACTACATCTCGGCAGTATCTCGGCTGTGCCTCCGCGGGCTGAGTCGCGTCTCGGCTTCCGTCGTCACCGAGCAGCACCTGCAGTCGGTCACGGAGCCATTAATGAACTGGCCATTCCTCCGTCGCCGCCGATTGACGCAGGAATGAACGAGTGAGCTCTGAGCGCCGCCGTGCGGGTATCTCTGCGTGGCACCAGTCACCACGTGGTACAGCGATCGATTGATCCATCGACCTCCATCGACTCACACCTCGTGGCGCGCCTGCAGCGTCGAGGCCAGCCCGATGACCAGGACCGTGCCATGCACCTTGCACACGTTGCACTCCACGCAACCCATGATCAGCTTGAGGTGGCGCGTGCGCAGGCGCAGCTTCCAGACGGCAAAGTCTGGCGAGGAGGCGTGTGCGCGCAAGCTCGCTGCCGCGCTTTGGACCTATGAATGTTGACAGGTACTGCGTAGCTCTTCCTTGTGGAGGCACGCGACGACTCCAGACGGACCCTAGTACGCTCCAATGTATCCTCACGGATGCTAGGAAGTGAAGCCCAGATAAAGTAGTGACCCCTCTATGCTTGATGGACCGGTTCGTGAATGAGTGGCCGGTGTGCGCGCGCGATGTGGTGCGGCGGACTACGTGGCCTCTCGAGCCCCTCCCGTTCCGTACTCTCGAGCGCTGCTCGGAAGACACAGGATCTGCCGTCCGCCATCTAGGCCTCGAGATCTGGGGAGAGCTGGGGAGAGACGGGCCTGTGTTCCGGCATCTACGGGGGTGTGGACGGAATCGCTCGCAAGCAGGTCGTCGCTGGTCAGCGCTCGCATCAGCGGCGGGATGGAGGCGTCGCCCAGATAGGCGCAACTCTCAAAGGAGGGGCCCTTCGACACCTGTTGCACGGACCTTGTTAGGAAGAAGAGCTGACCGCTTGTCCATCAGAGTGTACCGCTGCGCGCTTGTCTATGAGAGGGTGAGGGTGCGTGCCCTGGAGGCCCTGGGGATGAAGATCTTCTCCGCCCCCTCGCGTTATGCAGCCGAGATGTGCAGCCGAGGTACGGGAGGAGGTTGAGATGCGATGCGGCCGAGATGCGGCCGAGACGAAGCCGAGATGAAGATGCAGCCGAGGTACACACCTCGCGGATGGCGGAGAGGGTGAGCATGTAGGCATAGTACAGGTTGAGAATCGAGCCCGGCTCGTCGCGAAGCCGCCTGGAATCAGAAACTGCGCTCAGAAAGAGTTGCTCAGCGGAGGGTGGAGCCCGCACTCGTCGTCAAGCGGCCGGCGGTACTCACACCGCCCCTCCTCGGTATGGCCGATATCTTCGATGATCTCGCAGTCCACCACTGCATGCATGCCCGAGACGAGCCGGTTGAAGTCGCGCTTCCACCCCATCTCCTCCTGTGAACATGCCCGCTGTGAGCCAGCCATCTGTGCACTGGGCCCCGCTCCCAGCCCGTCTCCTCCTGCTGCAGCCGCTTTTGGAAGCACAGATTGGTGTGAATGAAGCGCCACACGCGCTGCCCGTTGTACCCCGTATTGCGCGACGCAGACTAAGCAGGTAGCACAGAGGTGCGGCCGAGGTGCAGCCGAGGTGCGGCCGAGGTGCCGAGGTGCGGCCGAAGTGGATACCTCGCGCAAGTCAAAGTACTCTGTAAAGTCGGACGGCATGTCCTTGCTCACCCACCCGTCGATGAGGAACTACGCAGACGTGGAGCACAAAGGAACGGCTGAGGCTGAGATCCACTCATGGTAGGACCAGCAGCCGAGATCTCTCGGCGAGCGGGTGCGCTGCACATTGTACTCCTCTCGGTCGCGGGCGATGACTGCTGGTGGGATGTCGCGCTCGCGCGCGGCGCCTACGGGGCAGGTCGAGGGACATGATAGGCGATGCCACGTGCGGGTCGCCACATCGGAAGGAGGGTGCGGATCTCGCAGGTCGCCATCTCGCAACCCGCGTCGCCAGATGGAAAGTACATGCACGGCGTGATGAGGTTGACAGGAAAGTACGAAAAGAAGTCGCGCTCCACGAGCTGCTCCAGCAGCGCCGGTATGGCGCCGCGGTCTTCCCTGCACACGCACGCAGGCATCAGTGTTGTGGGGAGAGTCAAGTCGCAGCCTGCAATGCCGGCCGCGAAGACCTGCACCGTCTCATCCCGGCGAGGATCACCGGGAAGGTCTGGTTTCGGTAATCATACGTCGGCATGTCCGCAGACTCCCAGGCAGGCCTCGCCGCCCATTCCTGCAGACGCACCGCCGAACGCCCAGCAGGTCGGAAGGCATGTTGCGCCGCGGGAGACGAGACCAGTCCTGCCGCCGCCCCGCCCCGCAGTGCGCTGCACTGCGCCGCGCCACCCTCCAGAGCACCACTCTGAACGAATATCAGTAGCATATGTGCGTGATGGACAGGGCCGGCAGCCAACTGTGGGGCTAGCACGGCCGCTACCTCGGCCCCGTAGGCGCGGTTAGTGGTAGCGGTAGGGGACCCGCGGGTGTGAAGCGGTAGCGGTAATCCGGCCCGCGGGCGGCGGAGGTAGCGGTAACAGGGACGGCCAGCAGCCCTCGGCTGGCTGTCCGTTCCTAGTAGCCCCGACGGTTACAGACGGCCGGCGAGCCTTCGGCCCCCGTGAGCGTCGGCCTCTTGCCGTCAGCGCTTCGCTCGCTCCGCTCGCTGCTGGACCCTACCGTCCGCGGTGCGTGAGCAAATGCCGAGCGGCCGCGGGTCGCCGTCGGGCGGGTCGCAACGTCACGACGGCCGCAGCCGCAGCCGCAGCCGCAGCCGTGATTCGCGGTATGATCGGCGGGGTGATCGTCGCGATGATGGGCGCGATGAGGGACGCGGCGGCCGACGCGGCGGGCGATACGACGACCGGCGGCAGCGCAGCCGCAGCTCATCGCGTGGCCGGCGCAGCGACCGGCACAACGACCGGCAGCATCACAGCCGCAGCTCCAGCCAAGAGCGTCGCCGGCGGCGGCATCGGCGCAACCGGAGCCGGAGCCGGAGCCTAGAAGCGCAGTTGATGATCCACCTCGTGCCGGGTAAGGCAATGACCTCGGCCCGGTTTTGTGGGAAGCCTGGGGTCGCTGCGCCCGAGTTGCACAATTCCGGGAGCATCCCGCCCGTGCGTTGCTTGATTCCCGAGCGGCACAATGGCGGCACGTGGACGCTCAGATCGCTCACGGCGTTCGCAGTCAGCAAGCTCGCGTTGACGACCGGCTTCTCCTCCGACGGCACGCGAATCATGTGTGCGAAGGGTGTGCACTGCGTTCGGGCAAGGCGGCTCAAGAGGAGCGACGGCTACTCGCTTGGCATGCCGTCGCTGCGACTCAATCCTGTGTGCAATCGAACTCGAAGAGACGGGCGAGAACGACGGGCACGAGAGCAAGCCTCTCCCAATATTGCGCCTGGCTGACGAGACGCTCCTCCGGCTGCGGGGACTGCAGCAGGAAGCCACTGATCAGACCGCCGAGGCGCAGCTCGCACGTGAGGCGGAGCAGCTGCGACGGGTTGAGGAGGAGCGCGCTGTGCGGCGCGGCGCAGAGGCGGCACGTGCAGCCGACACGTCGAGCACGGGTCGCAAGCGCACGATTTCGGGCTATCAGGCTGAGTTGCAAGCGCAGCGCAGCCGCCGCGGCTAAGTCTCAGACTCGATCTCGGACCGCAGATCGCTTTCTTTTACTCTCCGGGTTGATTGTTTTCTCTTTTAAAGGGCCTTCGAGGCTTCATACACCAGTTATCCGTCATGCACTCTGCTTTTTATTCTTTTTCTTTTTTCGGCCCAGGAATATTCTATTTTTTCCTCGCAAACGTGAAGTCGACTAGGCCGGCTGCAGCTATAAGTGACTGAGTGAGTGGGGTCTAGCGGTAGCGGTAAACAGCGGGCGGCCTCTGGCGGTAGCGGTAAAGGCGCAGCGAGGTGTGAACGGTAGCGGTAGTCCTGAATCGCTCTACCGCGCCTACGGGGCCGAGCTACCCCTGCGCGCCTTCGCGGAGTTATCCTCTTGCGAGCTGATGCTTCGGTGTGAAGGTGTGAATCTCACAGGCCAGCGCTAGGATGCGCTCCTCGGGATCAATACGCAGTGCCGCTGGAGGCGGCCGCCTCGCGAGTTCGGCCAGGGCGTGAGCTCTCAAGTTTTGAGAGACTCGGCGCAAGCAGTGCAGAGTCACGTTGCCACACAGTGAGAGCAGATGACGTTGCTCAGCGTGCGCCAAGCCGGTCGCGCAGGCAAGTGTAAGTCGATTGCGCGTTGCTCCAAGGACGTGAGGAAGGAGGTTGACATAGAGAGAAAACGCACATTCACACTTTTGAGACGACTGTGAAAAATATTGTTTGGTGGCGTTGAAAAACTCCAAAAAATCGGCGCCTGCGGCGGGCCATGGGACCCCATCTCCCCCCCGCATGGACACCCTCTGGGCCCCCCGCGCCGGCCCAGAGCTCGGACCAGGTCTCGACCCCATACGCCCTGCGACTAACCCCCTCGCCGACCGCCCGACCCCCCCTTCCCTTTCTCCAACCTCGACGAGCCGATGGCCGTCGAGCCTCTGCTCTGCGCGCCCCCGCCCTTCAAGGGGCCTATCTAGATAGCGACCTACTCGTCGCTGACGTGCAAAAAAAATTTTTCTGCGCGAGTTGCGTCGGGTTGTTGCCCTAATCCCACCAGGGGTTGTCTGCTCTATTCATTTGAAAAAGGCGAAGGTCGTACCTGACTCCCACGCCTCTCAAAGAATTTTAGGTTGAAAAAATCGAATTCGCGCGAATTTATGACCGCACTCCAACTCTCGCGCGCAACACTGGAGCAGAGCGGAAGGAAGCCGGAGAAGATGACTTTGAGGAGGAAAGGTCCGCTCAGTACATGTGTGGCCTCCACGAGCGACAGCGCGAGATGTGTGTGTTGTTGCACGGTCGGAAAAATTGTTACTGCAGTGCCACGTGTCCGTTATACACACGGCGCCCCCCTGGAATTCGATTCAATTAAGGCAGCGGAAGCCGCCGTGGTGGCGTTGGTCGCTGGCGAGTAGAGACCACGCCTCACTTTTTCACACCGGGGGTCCGTTTTTAAATGAACTCGGGGGCACAGGACGCGGTACCAACGCGGTACACCAAAAGGCACGGGCTGCCTGCACGGCGTTCACTCGAACGCCATGCACATGGCGCGGAGCAGCATCGGGTTGGTGTCGAACCCGAGCGGGTCCTCCTCCCAGTCCCGGTGCCCACCCTCCGCGTCGTCCTGCTCATCGTGCGCGTCGAGCACCCTGCCGAGACACAGGATCGTCCCCTTGGGAACGCCTGCCCCTCGCGCGCGCGGGTCCGTCCGGTGCTTTTCGCTGCGCATGCTCGAGCCCTCGGCGAGGGCTTGTGCTGTGAATAGCCTCGCCCGCGTTGTTCGCCAGGGTTTGCTCAGCGGTGGTCGCGCGTTTGCTCAACGTCTCTTGTCTTGCTCAACTTCCGGAAGCCTCTTGTCTTAGCCTCTTGTCTTTGCTCGAGCGAAGGCATGAACTTCTTGAAGCGCGAGCGCGCGGAGCGGCTCGTCGTCGGCGTTTTCTCCTTCGCGCTCGAGTCCAACGCGTTCAACCCAGCGCAGCGGCGGCTGTCCAGCTTCCAG